GGGCGAGTTGAGAAACAGTGCTGGAACCCCGAGGGAACAATTTTTAGATTTTGATTTATTTCTGCTAACCTCTTCATAGTAGTATCTACCCTCTGAGTAACTTTCAAACCATTTGTGTATTATTCCCCTGATTCCATACATTTCAAGCTTTGTTAGGAGAATTTTGTGATCTACCATATGAAATGCCTTACTTGAGTCTATGAAAATCCCTAGCGTCCTTTTACCTTCATCCAACTCCCTGTACACGTTGTTGAGGAACTGTGTTATCGCTTGTAAAGAGTTTATTTTCAAATCAATTGCTTTTTTCCTTTCTCTGGAAGATTCCCATATTTTTTCAAGAAGTAGAAAGCCAAAACATTTCTTTCCCAACACTATGGAAACATTTTGAATCACTTTTACTATGAAAAAGCTGCTTTCTGACGAGCCATTGTTAGAGACTTGTGCCAGTTAAAGGAAGGCGAGATTTACTTTACAATCTCAGTATTGTGTATTGAGATAAAACGATGTTTCTATTCTAAATTATTCGATCTCTTCACACTTGCTTCTTCCTACAGCCTACACTACGGTTCTTTCAACTTTTTTTTTAGATTCATTCAAATACTCCATTCCTTGTCTTCTAGAGTTTAAGAGTCTTGTGAAATAATCATTTTGTTTTCAAATTAATAGAAACGCATAATGTGGCAGCTTTAGCCTCATTTATCGATAAATGTTATTTTTCAAGCCTTGTTGGGAGTTGAATTTTTTATCGGAATGTGCGCTTTGTTTGTTCTATAATGTTATCGCATCCGTTAAGAATATTCAAATATTTATTTGGCTTGTTTATCTTCTGAGGACTCCAAGCAAACCATGATAATACTAATGCAATCATTAAACTGAGTGAAGAATTATTGAAGAAAAGAAGTGAAATATACAGCACTCTGGATATGGATTACTGCTGTGGTTTCGCCGTCAACCCCAATGATAAATCCTTAGAAGTTGTAAGAAGATGTAATGGTGATGCCAAGCACTGAAAACCAAATTTGGTTTCCTCTAGTAGAGTTGAAAAAGTTGATTTTGAAAATCCGGGTTTTTCAAAAGACGTGTAAAACTTTACTTCACATATTAGGCTACTTGAATCTGTCAAACTATAAACCTATAAACGTGGCAAGCAATGATATATTTGAAGAAAACCTCGAAGAAATCTGTTTTTCATGTTTATCTGTGAATGATGTCATTCAAGGCCAGGAAAAACTAATCCACCGATATTCGAATATAATTTCATTGATAATCCACAATATTATCAACACTTATGGAAACATTTTTTTATCGATATAGTATCTAGCTACCAGTCATATCCTATGTCGTTTTTTATCATAGTTTAAACATCACTCCCAAGTTTATATTGCGCTACTTATAATGTGTTATATCTCTGAGTTGAAATTTTTGGAAAGATAACTCAAGGTACCTAACGAATGATGAGATATTGAGCACATATTAAATCATATGTAACACTTTGATACTTTGATGCATTGTTGATATATACGGTGGCATGAGGAGAAAATACTTTTTGTAATTGTAAGAACTTTATAATTTTGGTTCAAACTTGGTTACTTTTAAATACTTTAGTAGAAATCTGTTTGAAATTTTCGGGTAACCAGTATGAAAATAATCACTTGATATTTCTATTTCACTTTGAAAATCATTGAAATGACAGTCATAAATATATACAAAGGTAACAGTACTGCTCATGTCTTTATTGCTTAAATCTAGTTTGTGTCTCGGATGGTGTACAACCGCCCAAATTCAAATACTCTCGATTGTGTGGACTTTTGACGAGTCGCATCTTTCTCAAACTATTTTCTGTCATATTTTATACAGACCTTCATTATTAAAAACTATATACCTCACCTTCAACGTAACCTAGCTTATGGACTTAAAGAAAAAAGTTTACTCGTTACTGTCAATTTCACTATTCAAAAGTAACCTAGCCCTAATAGTTGAAGAAACTGTTTCTAATGAAAAACTAGCCTAACATAGAACTTCACTCAGCCTAT